TTATTGTCAGCTATATTGTCTGTATATGTGAATATAGAGTTAACAAATAAATCATGCATTCTTTAAATAAAATTTGAAAAAGAAATTAAAGTTAGTATCACTATTCAGTGATATAGGTATTTCTCCCACCAAAATGTTCCCAGTTTGAGTCCTGGTGTGTTGTCTCAAAATTGCTGAATGATCAATGAGATTGTAAATTCTATTACCTTCTCTGGAAAAAAAGAACATTTTTCTAATCGATTGTGCAACATATAAATTTAAAATTGTTGAAAGTGGGAACTACTAAATAATCAAGTTCTTGCGAAATAAGCCACAATAAGGTTTTTTGCAATGTTTAGCAGACGTTGTTAACTGTAATCAATGATTTTCTGCTGAACAGTCAACAGTCGAATGTGTTTTCCATCTTTTCATAACGCATGTATCAATAACAGAAAACTTGTCTATTAAATGTCACTGTTGTTGATTTTAGTAACCGAGGGAAAATGTACATGTACAATGTTTTTACAATTATTTTAATGAAGTGCTGAGAATTGATTTTAACTAATGATTTAAAAAAATCACAGGTTGCCCAAGGCCTTGAATACATAGATGTAGATAATCAAAAGAATATCATTTTCAAAACATTTGTGTTCAAATCTTGAGATGCTGCATCCTGTTATAGCCAATAAAATGTTTATTTGGAAGATCACAACCCCAGGTCATAATTCTGTAGTTGACATTTTGGTGAAAGAGGCTGGAAGGAATACTTGTGTTTTAGGATATTTTTGATAGTAATTTGTGAGTGCTTATTGGTGGAGGAGTTTTGATCAGGTGATCTTTACTTTATGCATGTTGCCTTATTTCCAAATATCATTTCAGATAAATACTTGTAAAACAACTAACAGTGTAATTAACAGTAGACCCTACTTTCATTTCTTTTTTATTTTGTTTATATTTGGATTTCAGTAAAGACAGCAGTATATATCCGCACGGAACAAAGAGTTCAATAATACATTTTCACATGGGCATAGTAACTCTTTGACAACCACTATAGGCTATACTGTTTATGACTAGTACAATGTATGTATTTGCAAAACATCTAAGCATACATGTAAATCTCACAGATGGATTGGCATATCTGTTTTCTAATTTTGCATATACTGGTAACTTTAAAGTAAAATCTTGTCAGGTCGATCATTTGTTTTTACCAACCTGCGAAAATTCCCCAAAGTTCTAATACCCCATTAACCTTTCTGGTAGAAGAAAACATAAACCATAAACCAGTTCTTGAAAATCAGTTTGCATCTTGATGTAGTAGAATAGGCTACAATTTAAATTTGAATGATTTTTCGCAATCTAATTTTGGATTCTCTTTTTATATTTCAGATGCCAATTTAAGAAAGGAGAAGAATTGTCCAGTTCTCAACTAATGAATCGGAATGTGATTATATATTTTCACATTCCAAACAAAAGACATAGATAATTAATGTGTTTTCATTGAATTGTTAACAAAAAACTGTTTCAGTTCAGTTTAATTCTGAACCTGCAGACTGGATACAGTTTTCTTTGTAAGCCTTGGAGGATGAAATATGAAAACTGGAGATAAAAAAAATGACGTCTGAGCTGTAATCAAATAAATAAAATAAATTTGTTGAAGTGAAGAGGAAGTGATCACGCGTAACAACATTAAAATACCTCTCGACGTGAATCACAACTTTTATATATAGAAATTTACTTGAGATTCTCTGAAAAGATGCGGCATTAACTTGTTAACGAGTATACTGGAAAAACAACCTTTGGAATTCAACCGAATGTTCACCATTATGCAATTGTGTTGAATCTTCAAATATGCAGTATGTAGTGAGAAATCGTACAAAAATTAAAAAAACAAGTTAATTCATTGCTTGTGTCAAAGCGGGGGAAAAAAAAGAAACGTGTAACAAAATTTATCTTGATAAATCCAGAATTTGAAAGAAAATAATCAAGATTTGTCTCTCTGAATTAAGTAATTTGCTTTTGGATTCAAGAATATATGTGGAATTGTGGTTTTCAGATAAAAAGTGAAAGTTTAATTTATTGGATAACAGATGCCAGCTTAGTCACCAAAGATAACATGCTTCAAATTGTCTGAAAATAAGAGAAAAAGAGTAGTATGATCGGTGTCCAAATTCTGGAAATTGGAATTTTATTTTCTGAACAAGTAAAATTATGCTTGAAAATTAGTTTTATACCAATGTAACAAGAATTATAAAAGAACACATTAACACATTCGAATAGCAGCAACAATAGATATTCTGTTAAAATTAGAAACGGAAATTGACAATGAATGATATTTGATCAATTAATATGAAATTGGAAAATGCAAATTAAAGTGACATTTTTATTTACAACCAAGCAAAATATAGGATAGAAAAATCAAAGTTCAAAAAAAGTTCGATCAAAACGTGATTGGATCTTATTCGATGACCAGTGATCAATTTACACTAAAAGGTGATTTTTTTTTTTATCTTGAAAAAATTGTGTTAACTGTGTAATAACAATTATTTAAAAAAAAGATCAAACTGTTCAATTCTATACAAATGTCTGTATACTAATTAAATGCAGGTACAGGTACATTGATGTACAGGTACATGTACATGTACAGGTACATGTACATGTACAGGTACATTGATGTACAAGTACAATGTAGGTTGATGTGTATATTTACAGTAAATTTTAGTAAATGGAAAATATACAGGTACATGTAGATGAATTATGTGTACCTTGATCAAGAAAGCTCAAAATGATAATTTTCGAGAGTGACCCTAAAAATAATGACATACAGTAAAAGTAAAAATAATGACATACAGTATAAGTAATTTTTTATATACAGAATCTTGATGCAATCTAATGACTTTTATAGATTGTAACAGTAAATACAAGTAATATCACCCAGTATAATGTCTCAATTCTGTTTTTTTTTGTGATGCAATGTATTGAATATCCGGAAAAAGACCAAAATACACACATACATGTACAAGCTTCAAGAAAATATGCTTCTTTTAGTATTTAATTTAGATTATTGCATTTATCTAATAAAATATAAACGTAAGAATTACATGTATGTTTTATGCAAATATTAAAATAGGATGTCAGAATTCTTTAACTAAATATTGAATCTAGAGTAACATGAAATTTGAATTATTTTGGGGGGGTTGTAGTTCATAATTTATTTGAAATGTAAGATTTATTGAATAAGCTTAGAAAGAGTAAGCCCCAAAACCTTATTTATGAAAATTAATGGTAGACCTATGTGAGGACAGGCCTTTACCTCTGTAATCTACATGTATTTGTATACATGTAAGTATATACTGAAACTTTATGTCCCTAGAAAAATTATATGAATCTATAATTAAATAATCGCTTACACAAATAATCACGATGTATCCGATAAATTAAATCGGAGAGACGAGTGAATAAACCACAAAACATATTGAAAAAACATATATGGAAATAAAAACTGTAACAAAGTTTCTATAGGCTGTCGGTATATTTCAGTACTTGCTTAATATTGATAAAGTTTCAAATATTTCTATATTACTTTGGAATACATGTATCTATTCAATAATAACGTTGACTGTGTTGAACTCTTGAACTCAGAGGCTGCATACATATTTATTATAATAAACGATATTTATCAGTAACCAATCAGTTGAAACTATAGAAAAATTGTCGTATATAAAATGGAGGTTTATATCTCGTAACATATGGTGCGTTATTGATCACATGGTCTTTAAACACTTGATGAAAACAATATTATTCACCAGAAACAAGGACAAAATATCTCACAGCAATAATAATTTTCTATTTTATATGATTCAGTTAGGTTTTAAAGAGACATTAGCTTTTTAGAGATCATTAATGATGTACAGATTTTCTATTTAAAACAATTGTTCCATGGGGGATATTCGAGTTGGATTGTGTTCAAATTTTGAGATAGATCTGAATAATTCCATAGCTACATGTATGTGTAGTGGCTTTCAAAGAGTTTAGAAGACAAGGGTTGTTGTTTTCGTTTTCGATAATTATGCGAGTCAAGGATCATTTTGAATATAAGGTAAAATTAGCATTTATTTCCATATTCAAAGGGGTAATATCGCTTTAAGGTTTTACACTTGAGATATGTGTATGTGTAAATTTTATATGCAAATGCTCAATATTTATTACATGCATGTACATTAAATTTGGATGAAAATATATATTCAGCTCAGTTAATTCAACATGAACAATTGAAATGTAATTAGTCCCTAAATTGAAATTGTGATCCGAGGTAAATTTTTATTTGTTTATTTTGTTTAATTTATGGGACATGTTTCAAAGTTATTAAGTTTTTGAAACCTCTGATCTGAGGTAATTTTATTGATTTAGGTGAAATATTTTTTTAAATCTCATCTGAGATAATTTCATTAATTTAGGAGAAATATTAATAATTGTTTTGATTCTCTCATCAGTGCCTTTTGGGTAAATTTCTTATTTCTTAATTTTATCAATTTAAGCTTATTTTGAAATTAAGTTAATTCTTGAAATCTAGCATTTGAGGTAAGTTTTATGTTTTTACAAAAACAAAAAATATATATGTATGTACTTGGTTATCAGTACACAATAATACAACATACAATTCTATGGAATACTATCACTGTGTATTACTTCATGACTTCTACATGTACATCATTTGCTTGATAAAGAATACAGAAAACCAGTGGTCGCTCAGTAATATGCAGAGTAATTGTATTCCATAGAACTGTGTAGTTCCAGTTCAATAACTAAAATCAGTTAGAACTATGTATGCTATTAGTTATGAGTAAGAGAAATTACTATTTTAGTATATAGATGCAGGAGTGTTTTACAAGCCAAATTATATGACAGTGTGGGATTCTACTATTATTTCTACTCCAATATTCAGTTTCTATGATTATAAATTACTAGAAAATTGTATGTTAATGAGATATATAATTTGTTTTTTTAGAAATCAATTCAACGTTTGGTATATTCATCGGTGTGGCATTCCATCCATAAACAGGTACATGTAACATACATTAGAAGCCATTATTTTGATCACAGAAGACAATTTTGTGAATTTAGAAGATTGTAGGTTTGCCCTTAAAGGTACTGACACTTAAAGGAATATAATTTTTGTGGACTGTTTCAGGAATCCTGTTTTATTTTTTGATATTGGGATAAAAAAAGCGCATTATTTTTATTTTAATATTAGAAAGTAAGATAACTGCTTGATTTAAGTGTTGAAAGGGACATAATTCATCAAGCCTACAAAATTACAATAATAAAGGTATTCAATGAAAGTATGTATCAATAAAGAGATAATTCATCTTCATGTAAAAAAACCTTTGCGAATTTATTAATTAAACTGCTTTTAATTATCTGTGATTAATGCGGTCAAAAAGGGGATAAGTGTGCTTGATGTGATAACCAAGGGAAATAACTGTGTATTTCCCACACAATGAAGAAACAGAACGTGAGAACTTTATCTCTAATCGTTTGTACGTTTACATATCTACTAGTTGGAGCGGCTGTTTTTGACGCCCTGGAGTCAGAATTCGAAGTGGAGAATCGACAAAGACTACTTAGCGAGGAGCACGCTTTACGCGAAAAGTACAACATGACAGATGCAGACTTTTTCCGTCTTCGATGGAATATTATTCATACTGTGCCATATAAGGCAGGTACGCAGTGGAAATTTGCTGGAGCGTTTTATTTTGCGCTAACTGTGATCACAACAATCGGTAAGTACGATTTAGTTATCTAATTCAGAAAGTGCACTGGGTAGAAAGTGGTGACAAATATTAAACAACTATACAGGTTGTCCCACTTTCTAACTTTATGTTAAAATTGAACAGATTTATATTTTTTATTGCAGCAATAATAACGACTTTTATGATATTTTAAAAACATGATTTATTATACATGTATTACATACATGTATTTTTGTACTTTTTGTGTTACTAATATTTTTATTTCCAGCTACATATACATTGTACATGTCAGTGCTGGATTAAGGGTCTGCTGGCCCTAAGGCACATTTTGATAGGTGGCCTGAAAAATACAGATATGTTGGGCTCATTGACAAAAGGAATTAAGTTAAATTTAGCAACAGAAAATTTATTACAAACAAATTCAGAACATTGACAGTACTGTATTTACTATAAGTAGCACCTGATAATTATCAAAAAAGTTTTACTTTATTATTTTGTGGCCTGGATTTTTGGCTGGCCCTAAGGCATGTGCCTTGTTTGCCTTATGGTTAATCCAGCACTGGTACATGTATAAGCTTATTTGAAGAAAACAGGGGACATCTGTCCGGCCTTAAGTCTGTCACACTATTTGGCACACAATAACTATAACTTTTGGTGCTTCTAAGTGAGGTAAAATGTTGAAACGTGGGGTAGATGTTCATTAGGTGAATGTTGTGAGTTAAATAAATTTTAGTCAACATTTACTCCACATGATCTCTGCATTTCTGAATATGCCCATTAAAGAAATGTTGATTACATGTACATTTACCTATTTAGACATGTGTTCCACTTGGTGTTGCTATTTAAAATATTTTGTTGTTGGACATTTTTATCGAAAATAAAGGGGCATGACTTTTATCGTTATTTAAGCAAACAGGTTCGGACCACAATTAAAAATCATGTGTCATCAAAATGGGTGCACCTTGCTAATTTTCATATTTAATTCCTGTATGGTATTCAAATTTATGTCAGTAATATTCCTACATAATTGTGTCTTTTCTTAAAAAGGATAGAATGAAAGCGTGCTGACTCGCATCTGCTTCAAATTTATGCCAATAATATTCCTCCAAAATTAATGTCTTCGTTTATATGGCAGCAAATGAAAGCAAAGCATCCAAAATAAGAATAGTTTGTGATGTCGAAACATCGTTTTCTTCTTTATAAAATGGTATTTTAAAACTACATTGGCAGTTTAATCACTCGTAAAAAGGCATAGCCAACTTCTGCGTATTATCATGTCTGTTATTGGCCTACTTGGCTGTTTACACATACATGGCGCCAAAATCAACACTTTTACTAAGTTTGTAGTAAGCACTGCCTTAAATGGTAAACAATGCTTTCCGTGCATATGCAAGATCGCAGGAAAGCGCCACTGTAGATGGGAATTTCTACATGAAAGTGTTTTCACCAATAAACCTCATTACCAACTGAAGTGTAAATACCTATAAACCTCATGACTAACTGAAGTATAATACACCTATAAACCTCATGACTAACTGAAGTGTACATGTATACATGCTACTTTAATGTTTCTGTGATCTTAGCTTGGTTGTAATAACCTCTTGTAGCTAGTGTATAGCAGAAATGGTTTCAGGAGTCGCCATACACTTTACATTTACTGTGTTACACCAGCACTAACAACAGCTTGATAGATAAAATATCTCATAAACTTTACATTAACTTCATGACCAACTGAAGTGTACATGTATATACACCTACGTGTATAAGCCTCAGAAATTTACCATTAACTTCCTGACCAACTGAAGTTTAAAAAAAAATGATACTTTAATTTTTAATATTTCTGTGACCTTAGCTTGGTTGTAATAACCTCTTGTAGCTAGTGTATAGCAGAACAAGTTTCAGGAGTCACCATACACTTTACATTTACTGTGTTACACCAGCACTAACATCTACATGTATAAAACAGCTTGATAGATAAAATATCTCATAAACTTTACATTAAAAAAATACGACAAGAAAACTTTATAGTTTTAATCTCTGGTGTATATGGTTTTATGGTTTATTTAATATCAAAGAGATCAACCAGTGTTAAATTTAGTACAAAACTTACTTCCGTGTTCAATTGTTAGGCCAGTGCAACCATTTTTTGATTTGAATTGAGTTGACTCTACAGTTTCACCAATAGATGTTTAATTTAGATTGTACATGTTTGCATCTTATTCTAGAAAGAAAGTTTTTTAATCATGTAGAAAGGTCAGAGACATGTCACTGGAAAGTAAAATGGTTTGGCTTTCGATCATTGTTTTATAGTACATAAGGTTTCCTTGGAACAGAAATATGTGTGAAATATCAAAACGATAAAGGGAAAGAGTCAGATGCTTACGATAAGTAACAAAACAGGCTAGAAAATAACTTTAAATTGATGATTATAACTTGGTATCATTTTTCATCATGTTATTTAACAAAAACGGACGACAGTTCTGATACACACAAAAATTCAATATTGGTCTGATGATCGGAAGTGATTTAAATTGTCTATCTGAAAACAGAAGACTTGGGTTTATTTAAATCACAGTTTGTAGACTGGGTATTATTTGATCTGGCAAAAACAGATTTTACTGAAGAAAGGGAAAGAAAAAGAGGGGAAAAGTTCAATCAATGTCTGACTGTGAGACGTTGAAAGGGATGTAGTAATTTGAACAGAGATAGAAAGATGTATCTATATTGACTAGTAGATTAGTCTGGCTGATCAAGTCTTTATAAGCATTTAAAGACCTGATTATCATGTCGCTTTAACATCAGAGGGTTAGACTGACATTGTCGCTTGTTTGATTGGATTGAATTAAGAGTCTGGATTCTGTGCATCAAGAGGATCAGCAACAAATCGACAGTGTATATACATGCATCCGTACTTAATAAGCTTTATATAAAAGGATTACTTAAGTCATCTTGAGAGTAACATTCAGTTAGACAGCAGTGTTTCTACCATCTTGTTTTCAAATTCCTGATGTTTAAAGTCTCTTCAACACCATACTTTGGTCACCTTGAAGCTAACCTATCATTGAGCTTACTTATTTTAAAATCTGATTTTCTTAAAATTAAAAACTCTCTGACTGTCCTGTAGAATAAATTACTGGTACTTTAATAAATTTGGGACTTGACAATGGAAATAACTGAAAGGGAAATGGAGTTTAACATCTCGTACATGTACATACACTTTAGGTGATATGATCTGTACATGTAATTGCGTCAAGTGTGGTCATTTCCATCCCAGGTTCATACATGTATATAACAATGATTTGGGATCCATTGATACCTTCATTATAGTGAGGAGGACCCACTTTATTATTATAAGTCCTCATATTCTACTGTAGGGTTGAGATCTGCTGATGTTTCCCAACACCCACCTTATACTGAAACCAGCCATTTACACATAGTGATGTCCCAGTATAGATTATTTCTAGTTATTGATCACTTTGTTTAGCACTTGAGATTTGGTCAGTGGATGTACATCTAAATAAATATAGAAATTAATCAAGTCTACAAGATCTAGGTATTGATTGGTCATTGATGTTTTGTCAGGAATGCCAGGTGTGCTTGTTGAAATAAATACTTTAATTGTTCAGTTGTTTATTACTACATTTGGTATTAGTCATTTTATTGTCAATGCCAAAATTTTTTCAGCTGTACACTACTCACGGCAGTCATTGAGGTTTTAGCTGTTGGGTTGTTATCCCGCCCCGACAAAGTTAGGGAAGGATATTGAAATGGACTCTGTGTGTCCATCTGTGTCTGTCCGTCCGTCGTCTCATAAACCGTTCAAGATATCTTTTGAAACTTGTACACTCATCAACCTATTACAGTAGTTGTGCCTTTTGCTATTTCAGAATTTCTTGGATTTATATTTTTTGTGTTTCCATGGAAACAAATTTGACTTAGTTTTTGGTGTACAATTTTGTTTCCGTAGCATATCTCATAAACCATTCAAGATATCTTCATGAAACTTTGTACAAACATTAACTTATTATAGTAGTTGTTTCTTTTGCTAATTTGGAATTTCTGGGATTTAATAAGTTTTCTGTTTCCATGGAAACAAATTTGTATCAGTTTTTGGTGTTCAATTTTGTTTCTGGAGCATATCTCATAAACCATTCAAGATATCTACATGAAACTTTGTACAAACATCAACCTATGACAGTAGTTGTACCTTTTACTCATCTGGAATTTCTTGGATTTAATCATTTTTGTGTTTCCATGGAAACAAATTTGACATAATTTTTATGTATAGTTTTGTTTCCAGAGCATTTCTCATAACCGTTCAAGATATCTTTTTGAAACTTTGCACACACATCAACCTATTACAGTAGTTGTGCCTTATGCTAATTAGACATTTGTCGGATTTAATAATTTTTGTGTTTCTATGGAAACAAATTTCTCTGTTGAATGATTTTTGAATTATTACTACACATTTGACTTTGGTATATACAATATATGTAATTATTATTCTAGAGCATTTTTCAGAAACTGTTCAAGATACTTTTATAACACTTTTACATTCATCAACCTATTATTTTATTTTCTGATGACCGTCCTTCCATCTCGATTTCGTTATCCGTTCAAGAAATATTTTTGAAACTGTGTACAAACATCAAACTATTATAGTATTTTATTTTCTGATGTTAATCTTAATGTTTAACATACAGCAGCGGATTGAGGTAGGCAAAGGTTATTGTGCGAACCTTACAGGGAGTAGCGACCGTGCCTTGCCGAGCTACTGTGATCAGAGTATGAATCTTCTGACTAGCCCCATTGATATTCCAAGAAGTTGTTTTTTCTTATGCCTTCCAAACAAGTGCAAGGGCGCGGGATGATGATGACTAGTCATCTTGTTCATATTGATATAACATGTGAGCATATCCAAATCAGAGAGGGGTAAAAGGCTTTTAGGGGAGTTAAATGTAAAAAAACAAGACTACCTTAGATTAATTAAAGGGATATTGCCAGATATACTTTTCAAATTCAGAAATGCC